AATAACTTATTGAATCGGCCAAACAATCATTCGGTCCAGATGTTCCAAACTATATAGTCACAGATTCCAAATTTAACATTATATTGGTCCTAGAGTTTAGAACTGATTAAAATCGGCTTTAACATATGAAAAATAAAACCACTTCCAAATTCTATATTCGGTGATGTCATTATTTTTTAATCTCCTCTCCAATCACAAATTCAGCTATAATATGTTTTTTGTCTATAGTTATTTACAAGTATTTTAATTGGATTAAAAACTCACTGGTCTAGTGCGACGGTCCCTCTTGTTTGTATAAATAATTTTTTGACATTGGACATTGTCCAATTGGATAGGCTCGAGATGTTTTGTCGTATGTCGTATGTTCAGATTGAAATTGGTGTGATCAAAATAATTATAATGCCGCTAATACTTACCCTTGCCCTAACATAGAGTTTCATTTCAACTCTAATGAAACACAGTGTGGAAATTTTGATCTTACGCCAATTCAATTTGACGTATATATTGGACATTGTCCAAATATCCAATATAATGATATGACATATGATTGATATAGTATCCAAAATTAAAACTTTTAATTCTTCACTGTAATAACGATAACTAATTTTTAAGGTAACGAGTTATTTTCTACATCAAGGGTTGATTGTACGTCATGTTGCCAGATTGTTGGTTTTTTTTTTTTCTAAAATATATACTAAATGGAAAAAGATTAATGACCATGGATGTGGGGCTGTTGTAGAGATGGGATCCGTATATCCGTTCAGATAAAACGGTGTTTATCTGTATCTGTTCATCCGTTCTTGTCTAACCCCGGCAGATATTTGGATAAACCGGATAACAAAGAATTATTTCGTGCAGATACTAATGATCATGGTTTTTTATGACTATAAACGTAATAAGCTCGAATTAAAACTCAATCAGCTCGAGTGTAAAATTCAATCAGTCAATGACATGATCACATGCTGTATTACGGATAACCGGATAATCCGATTTAATTATCAATCTGAAATCACTATTTTATCCGGATAATTTGTCATATTCGGATTATCCGGATCTTCAGATAAAAAAGCTCCATCTCTAGGCTGTTAACGGCTTATTTGAGATCGGCTCTAGCCGCATAATAGAGTTGAGCCGGCCCAAGCCAATTGAGCTGTAGTTTGAATCGTAATCAGGCTATAACTCAGAGTTGCAGCTTGAGCTGTGGCTTGAGCTTAGATTTGAGTTGTAGCTTAGCTATGACTTAGCTTAAGCTGCGGCTCTTATTAAAACTACGGCCTGAGCCATGGTTACTAGAGTCACTGTTTGAGCTATGACTCAGGTTATGGCTCAAACCACAGACCAAATGGTCATAGCTCAAGCTGGAGCCATGGCTTTTAGGAGCCAAGCCAAGCCATCCAAGCCGCTAACAGCCTTACACGGATGCCATTACCTTTATGGAATTAAAAAACAAAAGGTATTTTTCTATTGCCAAAAACAGAGTTAAATTTGGAATCTGTGACTATATAGTTTGGAACATCTGGACCGAATGATTGTTTGGCCGATTCAATAAGTTATT